ATGATATCCAAACAAATTTAATTGGTTTAGAAAATTATCCTCTTACCAATATTCTTGTCAGTTCAATCATGTGGTTTCCTTTAAAATTTACAGCATTCTTTTGTTCCAAACTCTGGCACCTTTTACTTTCATTGAATTTTTGATGTATCATCCAAAAACATTTTCTACACTACTATCCTACCAATGTCATGTAACCACAAGGCAACAATCAATACCACCTTTTCAACTCCATCTTTCTTTTACCTGGTCCAACGAAAAAGCTACAGTATCTATACTAAACCAAGCAATGACATATTTCTGTGTACTTGCTCAGAAAAGGAGCTGTCATTCAAAAATTTCCATAATGTTTCTGATATTCTTCTTTGAAGTTGGTTATTAACAGTTATTTTGTTTCAGCACACCTTTATCAGGAAGTTACAGAACTGACACTTAAGAATGATAGCTTAAAAAAACTGCCAACAATCTTTGAACATTTTAGTAAATTATAGTAATCATAAGACCAAATATTAAAGTCATTAAGAATAATCAGATTATTCAAGTGACACCAAAAAATGTCCCAACAGTAGTCCAGCAGAACACAATTCTAAGTTTGTTTAAAAAAAAAAAAAAAAGGCAAATTATATGCACACAAAAAACTTTAGAAGAAAAACCTTCAAAATATCAACAGTGACTAACCCTGAATGACTATTTTCCCTTTTTATGCTTTCTATAGATTATACTTTTCCTATAATAGACACAATGCTTTTATAAAGAAGAAAATGATAAATGGATATTTTCTAAAAGAACTATGGGCTATCAAAAGAAAGGGTACTAAAAGCTGTCAAGAGTATTCATTTCCATTACAGGTAAAAATTAATGTGTACAGTTAACACCCTATTAGGGTAATAAAATCTCTCACTGCTCTTAGAGCTTCCACTAAGAAGAATCAATTCAAGAAGGCCACCATCTAAGAGAAAGAATAAACAGAATTTTAACTGCTTTGGGTTATATACATCAAAATTAAAACCCAGGTTCTATTTTTCCAATATAGAAATAACGGACATGAGCAATTTTAAATTGCTGCATAAATATGGCAGGAAGAAAGACCTGGAGTACAACACAAAAATTTGTTTAATGTGCAATTCTTGATAAATAAATCTGAATAAAACACATTAAAATGCCTATGTGACTATAAATTGAAGTGTTAATTTGCTTCTTCACAATATCTGGAAGAAACATAGATAGAAGGTATATAACAAATGCAATTTAAATAAGTATCTGTAACTCCCCACAGCATTCAAACACTTTCATATTTATTATCTCATATCTTTCATATAAAATATCTCATGATCTCTCATACATATTGTAAGCAATCAGAAAGAAGCCATGTTTGATCACTGCTTCTGCACATATGAAGATAATAAAAATAACAAGAGGACTTTTTTATTTTTATTTATTTATTTGGAGCTACGGGGAGGGGGTTCGGGGGGAAGGGCAGAGGGAGAGAGAGAATCTTAAGCAAGCTCCACGCCCATTGTGGAGCCCAATGCGGGGTTTGATCTCAGGACCCTGAGATCATGACCTGAGCAGAAATTAAGAGTCAGATGCTTAACCAACTGAACCACCCAGGCACCCTAGGAAGACTTTTTTTAAAAATGAGTATATTTTTAGAAGTATAACAATGTGTAGACCAGTAAAAGGGACAACTTAGTAAAAGTTTATCATAAAATAGTGATCATTTTTCTATAATTACTTTATATCAAAAAACATAACCACTTACATAGCTTTTATCTATACATCATATAACACGGACTTTAAAAAATCCTAACTAACAGGCCACTGGCCTTCTATGTATCACTTATTCATTGAACCCTAAATTACTGAACAGAGATATGCAGCATAAAAAGATGAAGGACAACCATGCTAAAAAGTAAGAAAACAAACAACCCAATTCAAAAATGGACAAAAGATCTGAACGGGCACCACACCAAAGAAAATAAACAGATGGCAAACAAGCTTATGAAAAGATGTTCCACATCATATGTCAGTAGGGAATAGGAAACTAAAACAACATTAAGATAAGACTACATACTTATTGGAATGGCTAAACTCTAAAAACTTGATAATACCAAATATCGGCAAGGATGTGTAACAACAGGAACTTTCATTCATTGCTATTGAGAGTGCAAAATGGTACACTCACTCTGGAAGACAGTCTGGCAATTTCCTATAAAGCTAAGTGTAGCCTTACCATGTGATCTAGCAATGGTACTCCTAATTAGTTGAAAATTGAAAAATACACCCACACAAAAACCTGAGCACCAAGAGCAGCTTTATTCATAAGTGCCAATAACTAGAAAAAACAAAGATGTCCTTCAAAAAGTAAATGGATAAAATGGTACATCCAAACCATAGAATATTCAGTGATAAAAAAGAAATGAGTTATCAAGCCACAAAAAGACATGGAGGAAGCTTAAATGCATACTTAGTGAAAAAAGCCAGTCAAAAAAGTTACATATTGTGTGATTCCAATTATATGGTATTTGGGGAAAGGCGAAACTAAAGGAGCAGAAAGATTGGTGGCTGCCAGTCTTGCCACAATGAATAGGTAGAGTTCAGAGGATTTTTAGGGCAGTAAAATTATTCTATATAACACCATAATGGTGGATACAGGACATTATGCATTTCTCAAAACTCACAGAACTGTACAATACAATGAGTGAACAGTAATGTGAACTATGGACTTTAATTAATACTAATGTATCAGTATTAGCTCATCAATTGTAACAAGTACACTACGTTAATGTAAGGTGTTAATAAAGGAGAAACCACAAGCTGGAGAAAGGGTGTATATGGAAACCCTGTACTATCTGTTCAATTTTCTGTAAACCTAAAACTATTTTAAAAAGACTGTCGTTCTACAATCTAAACATCGTTTTAAATGGTTAGTTGTTCGGGGAAAAGAATTTTTCATTACTGTTATTGCTGTTAAAGTATAGGATTCTGAGAAAAAATAGGAGGGCCTTGTAAATACAGAAGGGCAAGATTTCAAAAGGTTTTTGTATGTAGCACTAAGAATTTTATACTGAATCTTGTGATGTATGGGGAGTCATTAAATGTGAGTGACATAATAAGATCCAGGTTTTAGAAAGATAACTCTTGGTAATGACACTGATTTAGAGTGTGAGACTTAAAGAAATCCAGGAAAGTATTTAGGAAGCTATTACAATGTTTACAGTAATAGCAATAAAAATGGTAACAATTTTTACTGTGCACTTTTTATGTACGAAGTACTTTGTGCACTTGGTAATTAAACCTTAATAGGCCCTATTATCACTATCATATTATAAATGAGAAAATAAGGTACAGTGAAATTAAGCATCTCAAAATTACATAAGCAAAGATATGCAGATAAGGAGCATGGCTCCATAAGGGGCTATACATGGTTCAGAATTACAGTGGTTTGGGTGTCAAGGTTGAATGACAAGGGCTGTTGAAGGCTATAGCTAGATAAACATCTTCTACATTATGGTAACAAAGACTTCTTTTTGATTTATAAGCTACAAATTCCATGTGCTTCTCCCATTTATAGTTTTCTCCTCTATGAAATACTATACATCCACTCATTCAACATAATTTTTTGAGTACCTAATATGTGCCAGGTATTGTGGTAGGCACTGTTTATACAATGATAACCTAAATAGCCCTTCACTCCATTGAGTGAAGAGTGAACATGGGAGTGTTCATGGAGTGAAGAGTTAAAATTCATTTGCTCCCTTAAAATTTTAACAGACAAAATCATCTGGGTCCAATAAAAAGTACATTCTAGTACAGCACTTAGTATTTGGAAAGATTCATTCACTCACTTACTCCTTCCACAAACATTGAATAAGAATCTATTACGAACCAAGAACTGTTTTGGTTGTTAGTGATACAACAATGGGTAACAGAAAGCTCCTTGATTTCATGAAACCAACATTCTAGTGGGAGAGCAGGTAAGACAATAAACAAATGCATAATATAAATTCTAATAGTGAAATGTTATTAAAAAATTAAACAGGTAAAAACAAAAACCAACCAACCATAGTGTTAGCAATGATATTTATTGATTAGGGCAAGTTAGGAAGGACCTGTCTGAGGTGTGACCTTCGAGCAGAGTCCTACAGGAAGCAAAAAGCCCTAGTCAGGTAGCAAGGAAAATGTTCCAGGCTCTGGGAAAACCAAATGTGTATGTACAGCTGTAGCTTTAAGATAGTTATGTTTCCATTGATTAAAAGCTTTTCCAAATAGAGCAGAGATTTAATGTCATATACCCTTTGATTTGTTCTGAAAGTATTTGCTTGGTCCACTCTATACATGACACAATAAAAAAGCAATCATTAAAAAGAAAATGGAAGGTCTCAATCCCAGATAGCCTAAAACCTGAATTTTTTTTTATGATTTTATTTATTTATTTGACACACAGAGATCACAAGTAGGCAGAGAGGCGGGCAGAGAGAGAGAGGGGGAGGCAAGCAGGCTCCCCGATGCGGGGCTCAATCCCAGGACCATGAGATCATGACCTGAGCCAAAGGCAGAGGCTTTAACCCACTGAGCCATCCAGCCGCCCCTCAAACCTGAATTTAAGTAGAGAAAAACATTACAGGAAGAATGCTATATTCTCTCTTCCCACTCCTTCCCTTACACAAGAGACAATCACAAGTGCATCTGGCTACTATTCATTCATGGTACACAGGTGCTTGTTGATCTTTACTAGGTTTCTGAAGATGGTCCGAAATTTATTTTGTATGGCATCTATCTAGATCCTCAATCTAGGAAATATGCTCATTATTCCTCGAGGAAAAGTAGGAACTGAACGGGCCTGACCTAACTAGTGGGAATATGATGGGTGCCTCAATTAGAGCCCGAGGGTCCTGGCTAGGAGACTGTGGCAAAGATGTCAGAAGCAGGCCAAGGAAAGGGAGCCTGCCAGGGGCAAGTGCTTTCTAATAGCGCAATCTGGTCGTACCTCTGGACCTTACCTTCACTGAGATTCCGACCCGACAGGTTTAACTGGCCGCTCTTCCTCGCTGCCTTTAACAGCCCTTGAGGTACTGAAGCATCGACCTCTCTCCTCTCAGCTCTAAAACCCGCTCGGGTATTCCTCTCCGCCACTCCCCTCAGGCGCGACATGTTCAAACCTTTGAGTCCAGAAGCAGAGCGCCGTACGTGACGTTTAAAGGTGGCGCCGGCATGCTACCCCGCCCCGCTATCCCGCCCCTGCCGTGAGCGCGCGCCGTGCGCTGTGCTCGTGGCCTTGAGCGGGGCCTTCGCTCTTGGCGGCGCGGCCCGGATGTCGTCACTGCCAGTGCCCGGGGTGGAGGGTAGAGGAGCCTTTCCCGTTGCCGGTGCCGGCCCTGTGTCTTGCAATTACTTCGCTCAAGTAAGTGCGTTTAACGGGCTGAAGAGGGGCTCTCAGGGTTTATTGTTTGTAGTTATTGCAACTCCAACCTTCTGCGCTCCCGCCTTGACCAGGGTGTCAAGGAAGGGTAACCTTCTCTCCTCGCTTGGCCAGAACGTGGGCCTTGACTAAAACTTGAGACCTGGGCGCGGTCTGAAGCTTCTCTGGACCCTAGTGTGTGTTTGTCGCTTCTGGAGGTGGCGCCGGGACCTTCGTCCGGTGTAACAAAACAGATTTCGGTTCTTCGCGCGTACACCCGGACTCCTAGAATTAGTTCGCCTTGCCTGCTGTTGTATTTAGTTTATAGCCCAGCATAGGAGGTAGTGTGAAATGGAAGGGCTGGCAGAGAAAGAAAGCTTAATGATGATTGTTCTCGCCACTAGAGTTTACAGAGACAAGTGGAGATGCAAACTTTAGTGTAGCGAAAACAGCTTGGACTTTGAAGCCCAAATGTGAGTTCGAATTCCAGCTGCTTCTGTATCTGACCAGCCATGTGACTAACTTTAGGAGTTTATTCGGCCGTTTTTAAAGCTTACTTCTTTTTCGTGAATTTGGGGTAATTCCTATCTCATTTGGTTTTTTTGTCTTGTTCTGTTTTAATAAGTGAAGATAGAGCTTTAAATATTGAGTGCTTCGTGAGGAAAGGGGCTCCAGGATAGAAAATGAAAATTTTGTTCAGTATGTCGGTTTTCCTGGATAGTTAGTTTCTGTCTGAAATGTACACCTGTATTGATTCATTCAACAAATAATTAGGAACTCATCATCTTCAGTACTGTGTTGAAGTGATTCTGTTTCAGAAGGCATATACCGGGAAATATCCTCCTAATCTTCCATTAACTTGGGGATCAGTAGGATAGGATGATAGCCCACTGACAAACTCAGCAGAGTTTTGCCTGAATCCAGGTTCTTTATACCTGTAAAATTCAGTTTTTAACCCCCTCTCGTTTTTACTTCTTGGTTCTTTAGAGTTCTTTACACTAAAAATGAATAGCAGAAAAGTACCAGTAGTTACACTACCGAGCAAGAAGAGTGGGTTTTAATGCAAGGACCCTAGTTTTTGCAAGGCCACTAATAGGCCTCCTTCCCACCCCAAGTTTATCTTGACAGTAATGATTATTGCCACCTTCCTGAGCTGTAAGTGACAGCCGTAAGTGACAAGCTCCGTGCTGATAATACCTCCTTAGCTATCTCTTATTCAGCACAATAACCAATTTTGCAGGTGAAAAAATTGAGGCTGAAAGGGATTAAGGAACTTGCTGAATGAAGGTCACAATTTTCTGTAAGTGGTTTAGGCAAGAATATGAACCTAGGTCTCCAAAGTCTTGTTAATCATGATTTACCTAGTGGCTCTTACTTCATCATTTTCAATGCCTTATTCCTAAAACCATTTTAAGGGACACTTCAGCTATGTTTAAAAAGAGGGTCTTTTTTGTTTTTTTTAGAGAAAAAACTTTTCCTCTTTTGTAGGACTCAACAGCCTACCTTTGGAGGAGGAATTGCTCAAGTATAAAAGTTTACAGTAGCCACCTCTCTCCAATCATAGATTCTTTTTTTAGTTCAATATTTTTTAAAATAACGTGCAAGGTATATTTTCATTTATTGTGCTTCTACTTGAAGATAAATATTTTGTATTGGCATGTAATTTTAGTAAACATTGCTGCATTTTGTGTAAGTGGAGCATAATTCTGTTTAATGGCAAAGGAATTCTGAAAATCCAAGTGACTATACTTGTGGTAAACTTCGATAGATACACACTGACATATATAAAAAATTTTACTAGTATATATCCATAGTACATTGTATATACCTGTGTAGCAAATACAGATTAAGCAACTTGAATTGAGCTTCTTTAATGAGAGAGTATAGTTATATATATATTTATATTTATGGGACTTAACACTTTGTATCAATTTTATTACTTTAGGAAGAATGCATTGCAAACAAAAAACCCAACCCTTTTTTAAGTTGAGCATAGCAAAAATATTTGCTTTTTAAAAAATGGATTTTTGAGGGGCGCCTGGGTGGCTCCATGGTTTAAGCCTCTGCCTTCAGCTCAGGTCATGATCTCAGGGTCCTGGGATCGAACCCCACATAGGGCTCTCTGCTCAGCAGGAAGCCTGCTTCCCCCGCCTCTCTCTCTCTCTCTCTGTGCCTGCCTCTCTACCTACTTGTGATCTCTGTCTGTCAAATAAATAAATAAAATGTTTTTAAAAAATGGATTTTTGAAATAACATGAAATGGATGACTTCTGTGCAGTGACTGGAGTCTATTGTGTAACTACCTTTTGTAACAGAATTTGCCTAGCTACAATTTATTATATTCATTTTGTTAAAGTGAAAGGTTTCCCTGGTCTATCTTCTTTGCCAAATAAAAAAAGAAAGCGAAAAAAAACAAAAAATATATGAGCCTAAGAATTACATCAGCCAAAAAAAGCTGTTCGGTTTCATAACGGAAAAACTATTGTCAAAGTAAGATAGAGTGGCTTACCTCTATTTTCAAACATGTCCATATTACTCTTAAGAACGTTGCTATGTGGGGTACCTGGGTGGCTCAGTGGGTTAAGCCTCTGCCTTCAGCTCAGGTCATGATCCCAGGGTCCTGGGATCGAGCCCCACATCTGGCTCTCTGCTCAGCAAGGAGCCTGCTTCCCTTCCTCTCTGTCTGCCTGCCTCTCTGCCTCCTTGTGATCTCCCTTTCTGTCAAAAAAAAAAAAAAAAATTTAATAAAATCTTTAAAAAAAAAAAGAACATTGCTACATGTTACATTTTTTTCAAAACTGAAAAATACAGTTAGGATAGATTTATATAGGCAAATTGAGAAACTGTAGTAAAGAAAACTGGCATTAACTTGTGCAAAATTTTTAAGCACATTTATTTTAAAAATGTTATCAACTAATAGCAAAGTGAATTTGCTTTGCAGACATTTCTAGAAGTTTCGTTTTGTGTAACTTAAATGTAGATGTAGCCTATTTTGAATTAGTATTATGTTTATCTTTCAAAATGTTGCCTAATCAGTGGGAACTGCTATTTTATGGTAGTTATTTATTGAGAGAACATTCATTTTTTAACACTGTCATTATTGATTGGCATTGTTGAACCTAACCTTGTTTATTAATGTTTTTTTGAGTTGAAATTTTTACATTGTCATATACTTACTATTCAAAGTTTTCTCTATGTTTGTCCTTATATCAATAAGTTGTTTTAAGTGATTAAAATCGAGAGCAAAATTATGCCGGACGGGGCTCTTCATGTTTTAAATATTCAACTTTTCAGGTATTTGTTACATGTCTTTTAGTTTCTGAGAGACCAAAAGAACCTCTAGACTGAAAACATATTCTATCTAGGGAATCGGGAAACGGAAAGCTAACCAGCTAGTTTTGCTTCTGTACCAACGCTTGCTTTTTGCGCGCAGGCTAACCAGCCAGTTCTGCTTCTGTTTGGTTGCTTTAGCGCGGGCACCCTAAACCAATCAGCTAACGCCAAATATGCCTTATTCAAATGTTCAAAATGTCAACCAATCGGCTCAGCCCCCCCCCAAAACTTGTTTATACCTGTCTATAAAAACCCTGGCCCTACCCAGCTCGAGACCTCTTAGCGTCACTGGCAACGAGTGCACGGAGGTCCGGGTTCCAACCTGCAATAAACGACCCTTGCCGCTTGGCTTTGACTCAAGTCTCTGGTGGTCTTTTAAGGTGGGCGTATTTCTCATCCGGCATTGCATTTGGGGGCTCGTCCGGGATACCCCTCCCTCTTCAAGCCCACCAGACAACTAGTCAGCGGGTCGCTGGAAACCGATGGGTAAGAAAGCTGGCTTTGTCCCTGTGTTCTGCCTTTTTGTGTGCCTTGTTCCTGTGTCCTGTTTTTGCGCTCTGTCCTTTCTGTGTTTTGTATCTGGGTTTGAGTCCCAGATCGGGTCCTTTCTGTGTTTTGTGTCTGGGTTCGAGTCCCAGATCGAGGACTGGCAAACAAGCCCTGGCGGACGCACTATAGGGCTGCCAGTGGGCCGAGGGAGACATCCCTCGTTGCCCAGCAGGGGCCTCTCAGGGATCATGGGTTCGAGTCCCACCTCGGGGGCCATCAAAAGTGTAGTACATCTCCATGTTGTGTTGTTAATTATGTGTTCCGTGTCCCTTGTGCCAGTTACCTAAGTTACAACAGTAGATGTAAAGCTTGTATTCTATTAAAGGGGAGGATGTCCAACCTGTTTGAATCTGGAGTGTGCCTGACTGTATGAGTGTATCTGTACGGCTCCACCACTTCCACTACAGAGTCTGAGTGGGCTGCACCCTGAGTCTCGCAGGGCGTCATATGGCATAACGGTCATCTACTCCACGGAGTAGCCTGGTCTGGGGTTTATACGGACAGACCTTAGCTAAGATGCTCCTAAGGTCCTGCGAGGGACTCGAGCAGGACAGCATCTGAGAGATCCCCCTCCCTTTGTCTGCGACTTTGTGCACAATGGGAGGGGAGAAAGAAACTGGTATTGAAAAGCTACATTCGGACTAAACCGGATTTAGTAACATAGGACTAAGTGAACTATAAGATTATAATGTTAGGTCTCTTAACGTTCTAAACATTGCTGGTTCCCTAACGTTTGCCCTTCCAGGTTGGAGGAAACTCTTGCTCAAACTATCCGTGTCTCCTAACCTGTTTTACTTTCAGATTCACCCTGGCAGACGAAGGAGAAGAATTCCTACTCCGGCTGTCCGAGGACGGAGCTCGCCTAGCCCTTACCTTTAGCCCTCCGAAGGCCATTATCCATCCCTTCGGACTAGCCGATCAGGAGCGTTCATCCCCACCCGCCCTTTCGAATTCCTCACTTGTTCGTTCGTCTCGCACCCCTTACACCAGTGCCTCTGTCGCTTCCTGCCTATTCTAGGCGCCTTTCTCCTTGTTTTAACTATTTTCTTAATCTGGGAGCTACCTGGTCAAATGGGGCAAACCCAGAGTACCCCACTCTCCCTCCTCTTGGCTAATTTCAGGGATGTTTGGGCTAGAGGCAATGACCTGAGCCTGGCTATCCGGAGATCTAGACTCATCACTTTTTGCCGCTCTGGATGGTCAACCTACGGGGTAGGATGGCCCACTGAAGGCACCTTCTGCCTACCTATAATTCTCAAGATCAAAGCCCAGGTTCTCCTACCTGGGAAAGAGGGACACCCAGACCAAGCCCCCTACATCCTGGTCTGGCAAGATTTAGTGGAAAATCCCCCTCCCTGGTTGGCCCACTTCCTGTCCTCAGGAAGTTGCAAGATCCTTGCAGCCTGACCCACAGAATCCCCCAGACCGCGAAACCCGTCTGCGCCACCACCTGTCCTCCCTGATAGCCAAGACTTACTCAGTTTAGACCCACCCGCTTACCTACCTCCTCCCATGAGGCCCCAGGTTGCCCCCATGCCAATGGCCGCACCCGCTCCACCCCAAGCGGGAGCGGAGGGTCGAGAGGCGGTGGCCGCAGCCCCTGTCACCCACGGAGGGACCGACGGGCCTGCCGGGCACACTAGAGGGCGCTCTCAAAGGGAGAACCCTCCCCGGCTGCCGGACTCAACTGTTGCTTTACCTCTCCGGGAGATTGGCCCCCCCGATGATACTGGCAATCCCTGACTCCAGTATTGGCCCTTTTCAACCAGTGATCTGTATAATTGGAAAACTCAGAATGCGCAATTTTCAGATAACCCGAAAGATCTTATAGCTCTCCTAGACAGCATCATGTTCACACACCAGCCCACCTGGGACGACTGCCAGCAGCTCTTGCGTATTCTGTTTACCACCGAGGAAAGAGAGAGGATCCAGGTGGAGGCAAGAAAGCTGGTCCCCGGGAAAGATGGCCGGCCAGTGGTCAATCCAGACCTCATTAATGCAGGTTTCCCTTTGACCAGGCCTGACTGGGACTACAATGCAGCAGAAGGTAGGAGACGACTGCTCATTTATCGCCAGACTCTAATGGCGGGTCTCAGGGCTGCTGCTCACAAGCCCACCAATTTGGCCAAAGTGTATGCAGTGATGCAAGGTAAGACAGAGAGCCCGGCAGCATTCCTAGAGAGATTGATGGAAGCCTTTAGACAGTACACCCCCATGGATCCCGAGGCCCCTGAGAATCGGGCAGCAGTGGTTATGTCCTTCGTAAACCAGGCGGCCCCTGACGTTAAAAGAAAACTCCAAAAATTAGAGGATTTAGAAGGCAAGCAGGTTCAGGATCTGCTCCGCATAGCACAGTGGGTCTACAACAACCGGGACACCCCGGAGGATAAACAGCTTAAAGCGACAAAGGAGATGACCAAAGTCCTGGCTACCTTCATCCAAAAGGAGTCTACCCCTCAAGGGGAATCCCAAATAGCCAGACAACCCAGACGTCCCCTAGATAAAGACCAATGCACAAATTGCAGGGAAAAGGGACACTGGGCATGTGACTGCCCTAAAAGGAACCCTCCGCGGGCTAAGCCGCAACCATGGGAGCCAAAGCCCAACCCCATTCTGTTTACCCAGAACTCTGACTAGGGGGGACAGGGTTCGGATCCCCTCCCCGAGCCCAGGGTAACCCTACGAGTGGAGGGGAACCCCATACAGTTTCTGGTTGACACCAGAGCCCAACACGCGGTGTTGACCAAACACCATGGAAAGATTCTGGATAAGTCCTCTTGGGTCCAGGGAGCCACTGGGACTAAAAGATACCCCTGGACCACTCAACGGACAGTGGACTTGGGCACAGGGAAAGTGACTCACTCTTCCTGGTCATCCCTGATAGCCCCTGCCCCTTGTTGGGAAGAGACTTGCTCACCAAAATGGGAGCGCACGTTTACTTCCAACCCGGCGGTCCCACGGTGACCGACTCTCAGAACCGGCCATTATCGGTACTTACGTGCGTTTGGAAGATGAGTATCAGCTCCACCAAACAGCACCCCCTCAGGAACAAAATATCGAGTCCTGGCTTCTCCGGTTCCCTGAAGCCTGGGCGGAAACAGGAGGAGTAGGACTAGCTAAGCACCGATGGCCCTCTTTATAGAACTTAAACCTGGGGCCGACCCCGTCCGGGTCAAACAGTACCCCATGTCCACTGAGGCTAGATTGGGTATCACGCCTCACATCCATCACCTCCTGAACTCAGGGGTGCTACGCCCCTGCCACTCAGCTTGGAACACACCCCTGCTGCCAGTATGTAAGCCCAACAGCGGGGACTACCGGCCTGTACAAGACCTGAGGGAAGTTAACAAGCGGGTTATGGACATACACCCTACTGTCCCTAACCCCCACACTCTCCTCAGTGCCCTGAGGCCTAACAAGAAATGGTACACTGTTCTCGACCTAAAGGATGCCTTTTTCAGTTTGCCCTTGGCACCCAAAAGCCAGGATCTCTTTGCGTTCGAATGGACAGAGAAAGGCATAAACGGGCAGTTGACATGGACTCGTCCCCTGCAAGGATTCAAGAACTCGCCCACCCTGTTTGATGAAGCCCTCCACGAGGATCTAAGTGAGTACAAGAGACAAAATCCTAATATAATGCTCTTGCAGTATGTAGATGATCTCTTAATAGCCGCAGAGACTCAACAGGCCTGCCTTCAAGGAACCGAAAATCTCCTTCGGACGCTCAGTGACTTGGGGTACCGGGCCTCAGCAAAGAAGGCCCAGATCTGCAAGCCTGAGGTAGTGTACCTGGGATACCTGCTGAGAGGGGGGCAAAGATGGCTCACTGATGCCCGCAAGGACACTGTGCTCCGCATCCCCTGACCTACCTCGCCACGCCAGGTAAGGGAGTTCCTGGGGACAGCAGGATACTGCCGACTACGGATACCGGGCTTCGCTGAGATGGCCAAGCCCCTATACATAGCCTCCAAGAACCAGCAGAATTTTGAATGGACAGAGGAGGCAGAGCGAGCCTCCCAACAGATAAAGGAGGCCCTCCTCTCAGCACCGGCTCTGGGACTGCCAGACATTTCCAAACCATTCCACTTATATGTGGATGAGCGTAATGGGGTGGCAAAGGCAGTATTGACCCAACACTTAGGCCCCTGGCCTAGACCCATAGCATATCTTTCAAAGAAATTAGACCCAGTGGCAGCAGGGTGGCCTCCTTGCCTTTGAATGATAGCGGCCACCGCCTTGATGGTAAAAGACGCCGATAAGTTGTCAATGGGTCAGGAATTACATGTGACCACCCCTCACGCTATTGAGGGCGTCCTTAAACAACCTCCAGGTGGATGAGTAATGCTCGCATGGTCCACTACCAAGGACTGCTGCTAAACCCCCTGAGAATAACTTATACTCCCCCTCGGGCTCTAAACCCCGCATCACTGTTACCTGACCCGGACCTAGACACCCCCCTCCATAACTGCGCCGACGTATTGGCCCAGGTTCACAGGCTAAGGGAAGACCTGCAGGACTATCCCCTGACAAATGCCGAGGTCGTTTGGTTCACTGACGGCAGCAGTTTCGTCCACGAAGAACAGAGGCACGCAGGGGCTGCGGTCACATCTGAAACAGAACTTATCTGGGCGGAAGCATTGCCTCCGGGCACCTCAGCACAGAAGGCTGAGTTAATAGCCCTGACCCAGGCCCTTAAGTTGGGGCAAGGCCTCCGGATGACTGTATACACAGACAGCGATATGCCTTTGCCACGGCCCACATTCATGGAAGCAATTTACAGGGAGAGGGGGCTACTCACCGCCGAAGGGAAAGACATCAAAAACAGGGACAAAATTTTGGCCCTACTAACAGCCATCTGGGCCCCCAAGAAGCTAGCCATAGTACATTGCCCTGGCCATCAGAAACCAAACGATCCGGTCTCCCGGGGAAAGAATTTTGCTGACCAGACTGCTGGCCAGGCAGCCTACGGGAACATTCCAGTGCTACCCATACAGCTATCCAACCCGGGACCCCGAGAACTGCCGTCTCGCCCCGAGTACTCTGAGGAAGACATCACCTGGATGAGTAAACTCCCGATGACTCAGGTCAAGGATGGTTGGTGGCGGGATGCTAAGGACAACATCATCCTCCCCGAGGCCCTGGGACAGGCAATCTTAGAGCGGATTCATCACACGACCCATTTGGGCTCCAGAAGACTCCAGGACCTTATGAGGCAATCCAGGTTGACCATCAAAAACATCACCGAAAAAGCCAAAAGAATTGCCTCAGGTTGTACAGTCTGCCGGCTTCAGAACGCTTACCCACGTCCCGCTGTGATTGGATCCCGAGAAAGAGGGACCCTGCCGGGGGCCTACTGGGAGATAGATTTTACAGAGGTAAAGCCTGGAAAATATGGCTATAAGTATTTACTGGTATTTGTAGATACCTTTTCAGGATGGACTGAGGCTTTCCCAACCAAGCATGAAACAGCGCAGGTTGTAGTAAAGAAACTACTGGAGGATATTCTGCCCAGGTATGGCTTTCCTGTTATGATGGGATCAGATAATGGGCCAGCCTTCGTCTCTAAGGTAAGTCAGGGCCTGGCTTCCGTACTTGGGGCTAATTGGAAATTACATTGTGCATATAGACCCCAGAGCTCAGGACAAGTAGAGAGGATGAATAGAACCTTAAAAGAGACCCTTGCTAAATTGACCATGGAGACTGGCGCTAACTGGGTGGCTCTACTCCCCTACGCTCTGTATCGGGTACACAACACCCCTTACAAGCTGGGACTCAACGCCCTATGAAATCATGTATGGCAGGCCTCCTCCCATCATACCCAAACCCAAGGCCGATCTCATTGAGTCGGACCAGGATAACTCACTCTTGTTTTCCCTCCAAGCCCTGCAGTGGGTCCACAAAAGAATTTGGCCTAAACTGAAGGATCTATACGAGACGGGCCCATCACCCGCATCCCACCAACACCGCCCTGGGGACTGGGTCCTCATCAAGCGACACCGGCCCGAGACTCTTGAACCCAGATGGAAAGGGCCTTACCAGATCATCCTGACCACCCCTACGGCTGTTAAAGTGGACAACATAGCAGCCTGGATCCACCATACTCACGTCAAACCAGTCGACCCCCTTTCGGATCTCGTCGGGAAACCTAACCCGGACGCCAAGTGGACGGTTGACCATAGTAAGGACAATCACCTTAAGCTCACCCTGCGCCGAAACCCTCCCCCTCAGTAGCCAACATGGGAGACCTACTCGCAGTTCTGATCTTATTATCATTGCCCTGGACTCCTATGACCAATCCCCATGCCCCAGCCACTCTAACCTGGCAGATCATTAATAGCATAGGACTAACAGTTTGGAATGTATCTCATACCGCCACCCCCTATACGTGGTGGCCTAACCTATATCCTGACATTTGTAAGATAGCCCTTGGAGCCCCGGCAAACTGGGACATAGAATTTCTCTGGGACTTAAATCGCCCACCCACAAGCCCTTATGGAGGAAGGGGTTTAGACGGTAGCCACGGAGGGTACGGATGTGGTGACCTAAAGCGCCGATCTAGATTACGAAAACTAACCTTCTATGTATGCCCCAGCCCCGGAAACCTTGAGGGAGAACGCCTAGCTCAGCGAACTAGCCAATGTGGACACAGGGAGGACTTTTACTGCGCTAGCTGGGGTTGCGAAACCACTGGGGACGCCTATTAGAAACCCACCTCAACATGGGACTTTATAACCGTAAAAGCCAACTATTCCCATAGCCCAGATGGGGGAAACCCATGGCCAGAACTACAAGAATGCTACCAGTGGTGCAAACCTCTAAATATTTCCTTCACAGAGACGGGAAAAAAACAATTAAACTGGGTTAGAGGATACTCATGGGGTCTCAGGTTCTATAAAGAGCAGTATGACGATGGTCTAACTTTCACTATAAAACTCTCCATAGATGCCCCTAAAACCCCACTAGGACCCAACCCCATTCTGTCCCCAAAAAGACCCACACCTAGACCCAGGACAACCCCCTCTCAGATGCCAGGTAAGCAGATATCTCCTAAATCCCCCACCCACACGGCTGAGCAAACCCAGGAGTACCACGGTAAGAGCAGTAACTCTCAGGGGGCTCAAATTACAAGACCTCCACTTCAGATCCACAATACCCATAGCCTGTTACTTTTGAGCCCTGAACCAACAGAGCCCATACTCACTAGCCGTCTTACCCAGCTAGTTCAAAATGCTTTTCAAGTCCTAAACTATACTAATCCTAATGCTACAAAATCCTGCTGATTATGCTATGAGGTGTCCCCCCCCGTTTTATGAGGGTCTAGCCATCTCTAGAAGCTAAAATAGCTCCAACTCGGCCTCTATGTGCCGATGGTTAAGCCATAACCATCGCTTAACACTAGAGACCATCAGAGGAAAGGGAACCTGTATAGGGCTGGTCCCGCCGGCACATTCACACCTCTGCAACCAGACTATAACTGTAAATGCCACAAATGAATATCTAATACCACCCCAAGATGCCTGGTGGGCCTGCGCTACTGGAATTACCCCATGCATTCATCCATCAGTGCTGAACCAAACTAAGGATTATTATGTTCTAGTACACCTTGTCCCTTGCCTAATCTACCACCCCTATGAGGACATGATCTCATATTGGGAGGGAGGATCACATAGAACTAAGAGGGAACCCCTGAGTCTGACCCTTGCGCTAATACTGGGTCTAGGACTAGGAACTGCCGGGGTGGCTACCGGAGCCTCAGCCTTAATCTCACAACAACACCATTATCAAGGCTTAAGGGAAGCCATTGATGCAGACATACAAGAGCTAGAATTATCCATCTCAAAACTTCAGGAGTCTGTCAGCTCGTTATCGGAGGTGGTCCTGCAAAATAGACGGGGATTAGACCTCCTGTTCCTCCAACAGGGTGGCTTGTGTGCCGCCCTTAAGGAAGAATGTTGTTCTTATATTGATCACTCGGGGATAGTCAAAAACTCGATGGCTAAGGTACGAGAAGGATTGGCAAAGCGAAAAAAGAAGCGGGAGTCGAGACAAGGCTGGTTCTAATCATGGTTTAACTCGTCCCCTTGGCTGACTACCTTGATATCCTCCCTACTCCTCTTATTGACCTTTGGCCCGTGTATCTTAAACCGACTGGTGACTTGTAAATCAACGCCTTCAGACAGTACAAATCATGCTCTTAAGACAGCAGTATCAGCCCCTAGACCTGCACGACAACAACGATTATACTAATGACCACTAAGGACCCAAGATTGGCTCCTCAGGTACTTGAGAAAGGGGGGAATGAGAGACCAAAAGAACCCCCAGACTGAAAATGTATTCTATCTAGGGAATCGGGAAACCGAAAGCTAACCAGCTAGTTTCGCTTCTGTACCAACGCTTGCTTTTGCGCGCGCAGGCTAACCAGCCAGTTCTGCTTCTGTTTGGTTGCTTAACGCAGGCGCGGGTACCCTAAACCAATCAGCTAACGCCAAATATGCCTTATTCAAATGTTCAAAATGTCAACCAATCGGCTCAGCCCCACCCAAAACTTGTTTGTTCCTGTCTATAAAAACCCTGGCCCTGCCCAGCTCGAGACCTCTTAGCGTCACCGGCAGGAGGTCCGGGTTCGAACCTGCAGTAAATGACCCTTGCCGCTTGGCTTTGACTCAAGTCTCTGGTGGTCTTTTAAGGTGGGCGTATTACTCATCCAGCATTGCAGTTTCCTTTAAAAATTTCATTTGCAGTTTCACATGTTTTCCATTCATGCTCTAACTACCAACTTTTAAAAGTAGTCAGTAGGAAACATTCTATACTGTTTCGTTGAAGGCAGTACATACTTTGCATTTTATTCATAGTTTCAAATGTAGCTTTGAATTTTGTTGTTAGTATGTGATACTTTTTCTGATGGAGTGCATTTTATTTTAGAATAATTATTTGCATTTTTTTGCATGTTCCCTGTGCTTCTCTTTTTTACTTTTTTTTTTTTTTAAGATTTATTTATTAGAGAGAAAGCACAGTTGGGAGAGGCAGGAAGAGGGAGAGAGAATCTCAGGCAGAGTCTGCGCTGAGTGGGGAACCCAACTTGTGCTGGATCTCTCATGACCTTGAGATCTTGACCTGAACTGAAACCAAGAGTTGTAAGCTTAACCGATTGTGCCCCTTGTTTTTACTTTTGTCATAAAGCAGTGAGCTTTCTCTAGGTAGTATAATATTTGATTCAAATGTTGGGTCTTATATTTCTCTGTGCTTTTAAGACAAAAGAATTTCAGTCCACCAGCTTTGGGAAAATAATCATTTTCATTTTCCTCTTGTGAAAAGGCTTCTATGAGGCACCTGGGTGGCCAGTCAAGTTGAGCATCTGTCTCTTGGTTTTGGCTCAGATTGTGATCTCAGGGTTGTGAGATCAAGCCCTGCATCTGACTCCATACAGAATCTGATTCAGACTCTTTCCAGGGGCACCGGGGTGGCTCAGTCGTTAAGCATCTGCCTTTGGTGCAGGTCATGATCTCAGGGTCCTGGGACTGAGCCCCTCATGCAGCTCTCTGCTCAGCAGGAAGCCTGCTTCTCCCTCTCCCCAGCTTCTGTTTCCTCTCTGTCTCTCTGTCAAATAAATAAATAAAATCTTAAAAAAAAAAAAAAGATTGCCTGGATGGCTCAGTCAGTTAAGTGTCTATGTTGGGCTTAGGTCATGATCCCGGGGTCCTGAGATGGAGCCCCACATCAGGCTCTAGGCTCAGTGGGGAGACTACTTCTCCCTCTCCCTCTACTCCTCCCCATAGTGCTTTCTCTCTCTTTCTCTCTCTCTCTCTCTCAAATAAATAAAATCTTTAAAAAAAAAAAAAAAAGACCTCTCTTTCCCTTTCCCCCATGTAAAATAAATAGGTAAGTATTTTTTAAAATAAAAATAGAATAAAATTAAAAGTCTTGTACATGCTAGTGTTTATCCTCTGGAGAATAGTGGAGGAACTAGTTTAAAAACATATTTTTAAAATCACAATTTAGTTTTATTTTTTGGTTTATTTTCTTTCCATTGAAGGAAGAAAAAGCTGAAATGGGTGGTTATAGAGTTATCTTTTTTGTCTTTAAATAAATGTTTATTGTCTTTTCTAAAATCATCTGAGAATGTTTCCCACTATTCCCAGTGATTCCCACTCCTAACCTTTGAAAGCTATTTTCTTGCTCATTTTTCCAAGAGCAAAGTTTCTCTGACTGAAAAAATTAATTTTATAGGGTTTTTGGAATTTGCATGCTTTAAAGTAGTAAAGTAATAGAGGAAATTACGGCACCAAACCCTAGAGTGTACTTCATATCATTGTCTTTGTGTTAATACATACAAAACAACTAACAAATCTGTTTAAAAATTGATTTTAATTAAAATCCACTGTTTTATTTTTTTTTTTAAGATTTTATTTATTTATTTGACAGACAGAGATCACACGTAGACAGAGAGGCAGGCAGAGAGAGAGAGGAGGAGGCACGCTCCCTGCTGAGCAGAGAGCCCCATGCGGGACTCAATCCCACGACCCTGGGATCATGACCTGAGCCGAAGGCAGAGGCTTAACCCACTGAGCCACCCAGGCGCCCCAAATTCCACTGTTTTAAAATTTGACTTTATATCACTGCCTGCTGATAATCTTGTTCTGTTGTATCCGGCTTACAACTTCATTTGCTTAATACTTCAAAGAGAAAGAAATCACATGATTATACATCGCTAATATTGTTCTATACCAATAAAGCCCCCCAACTGTTCCATTTTATAAAAGATTTTATTTATTTATTTGACAAAGTGAGACACAGCGAGAGAGAAGACACAAGCAGGGGAGTGGAAGAGGGAGAAGCAAACTCCTGGCTTAGCAGCAAGCCCCGTGCAGGCTCATCCCAGGACCTTAGGATCATGACCTGAGCCAAAGGCCAGCACTTCACCAACTGAGCCATCCAAGTGCCCCTCCCCAACTATTTTAATGAGATAATATGAGGACAACTGAGACTTTATTCTTAGTGTCAACTTAGGTTGATAAGAGGAGAATATAAGAATGATTTGATAGTTGATGATCACAATCAATATATTTTTACTTAAAAATTTGATACTCAAATTTGAAAGCAGAATATACTTACAATTACAATCAAGTTAAATCTAGTTTAACTTTCAGAATAACTTCAAGACTGTCCAGAGTTTTTTTCCACATTAGTTTTCTTCCCCATCACTTAAAATCTCACAGTTGCATATACTTAAC